CTGCCCCTCAGGGAAATCCGAACTGAAAAACCTCACTGATGAGAGAGCCCATCAGGCGCGAAAGTGGAAATCTCATCAAGGAAGGAGTGGGAGGTGAGCTCTTTGGCAGCGAAGCAGAGAAGGAGCATGAGATGGTAGCTGTGGGATGCGGGGCCGAGGAAGTGTTTTAGGGTGGCAGAGGCTTTGATGTCTGTAGGGTTTCGGAGGAAGGAGCAGAAACTGGGTAGAGATGAGGATTCAGCCCAGAGAGGGAGTAATTAAGAGGTTGGGCCTCAGAGGTGACAGATTAGGGGGTCAGAGGGGACGCAGGGGAGGTTTGAGGTGGAAAGGGAATTGAGGGATCCCGTTTCTAAAGATGCATGGCTATTTGCTCAAGAGGAGTCTGAGTGGAAGGAAGTTTGAGGTTAAAGATTGGGTGCAAGAGTATCTGATGGAGCTATATGCATGGTTTCATGTCGGTGAGCAGGAGGAAGGGGAAACACCTGCTCTCCAGCTCACTCTGCCTTTCTGATCACGACTTGTCCTGACTCTTCCCCCCCCCCCACCCCCACCTTCACATCTGGAACGCAGAGTGAACCGGGGAGCAGGTTTGGTGTAGCTGGGGGTGTGGGAGGTGAGAGGTAGGCAGAGATTTAGGGGATGGTCCTGTATGCTGACTGCAAATGGGCTGGAGTAGGAGGCCTCCATCCTCACTGTCCAGAATGAGGATGTGGTGGAAGGGGAAGGTGAGTCAGACAAGTTGGGGAGAGTGTTGGAGGATTCCTGAGGTGGGGAAGGGGAGGGACCAGGCTGCCATAGCCTGGTTTACTCCGGGAGGAGGCTCCTATTGAGCCCTGAGAGCTTCTCTGAGAAGGATCCTCCCCCAGGTCCTTGCTTTCGTTGTTCTTCAGTCACTCAGTCGTGATCAACTCTTTGTGACCCCATTGACTGCTGTCCTTCACTACCTCCCGGGGCTTGCTCAAGTTCATATCCATTAAGTCAGTGATGCCATCCAACCATCTCGTCCTCTGTCATCCACTTCTTCTCCTGCCCTCAATCTTTCCCAGCATTAGGGTCTTTTCCAATGAGTTGGCCCTTCGCATCGGGTTGCCAAAGTATTGGAGCTTCAGCTTCAGCATCAGTCCTTCCAGTTAATATTCAGGGTGGATTTCCTTTAGGATTGATGCTTTGATGATCTCCTTGCTGTCCAAGGGACTTTCAAGGGTCTTTTCCAGCACCATAATTCGAAAGCATCAGTCCTTCAGTGCTAAGTCTTCTTTATGGTCCAACTCTCACAGCTGTACATGACTACTGGAAAACCATAGCTTTGACTATACGCACCTTTGTCCGCAAAGTGATGTCTCTGCTTTTTAATACACTCTCTAGGTTTGTCATAGCTTTTCTCCCAAGGAGCAAGTGTCTTTTAATTTCACCGCTGCAGTTACCATCTGCAGTGATTTTGGAGCCCAAGAAAATAAAGTCTGTCACTGTTTCCCCAACTGTTTGCCATGAAGTGATGGGACCATATGCCACGATCTTTGTTTTTCTAATGTTGAGTTTTAAGCCAGCTTTTTCAGTCTCCTCTTTCACTTTCATCAAGAGGCTGTTTAGTTCCTCTTCACTTTCTGCCATTTAGGGTGGTGTCATCTGCATATCTGAGGTTATTGATATTTCTCCCAGCATTCTTGATTCCAGCGTGTGCTTCATCCAGCCTGGCATTTTGCATGATGCACTCTGCATATGAGTTAATTAAGCAGGGTTGCAATATACAGTCTTGGTGTACTCCGTTCCTTGCTTGCTTCCGAATTATTGTTGGAGAAGAACAGGCAGCATCTAGGTAGCTCCTGTCAGTGGTTCCCCATGTCTGATGGATAAAGGCCAAGTTCTCAGGGTGAGATCCTGTGAGAGGCCCTTCACAGGCTAGTCCTGGGCTCATTTGCTGCCACTCTTCCACAGTTGTTCTCTGGCCACATGGAGCTCTATGTATACCCATCCCTCCCCATACCTTGAGGGTATGCTCTTTAGTCTTGCAATGTATTTGCACCAATGCCTGCAGTCCACCTGGAGAAATCTCACTTCCTCCATGAAGCCTTCTAGGATTTCCCACACTGCACTGGTCCTTCCTTCCTCCTGCTGCAGCCCTGCTGTGAGCCTGCTGAACTTCCCTCTCCCAGGAGCACACCTCCTGCTGTGTTGTTGCTTTGTGTGTGTGTGTGTGTGTGTGTGTGTATGTCTGTCTGTCTTTCTCCCTGGAAATCCCCAGGGTCTCCATGTGGTGCCAGGTACCTAGGACCTTCCCCTTGGATGTCAATCAGCTTGAATGAATGGATGACAAGGTGAACCTCATTGTCCATAAGATGCTCAGGAAATGGCTGATTTTTGCAATTCCATTTGTGTCTGAAACTAATACAAACTTGCTTGTTGAGCTAGTGACATTGGAGAATTGACATTTCACAGTTAATTGCCATCTGAACTTAATTTTAGAGAGGACGGGAATTTCAGGGAAATGATGTTTTTCTTCTCACAAAAGCATACCATGGCTGCTTTAAAATTAGACCATTAATTTATGAATTTCTGAAGTCTAAATTGGCAAAAGACAAAATTTGTTAGCGTTGGCTCACAGATCCAAGATAGAGGCCAAATTCTACACGAAGCCTTCATAGTCTAATTGACATGGATTAGAGATGAAAGATTTGTGGTCTGGGGGAGAAAAATCACATAGTCTTAAATTCACTTTTTCTTTCTCTCATAGCATCTACCACAGTGTTTCACCGATGAAAGGGGGGAAAATAGTATTTGTTAAATAGATAATCCAAAAGAAATAATATATTGATTTGGGGGGGGTTTGTACATTTTTATGAGAACTGTTTTCTGTGTGTCTTTTCTCAGGTAAGATACTATCTTGTAACAGAGTTGGAGGTGGGCAATGGGCAGAGTCCCCATGAAGAATTGCAGAGCAGTGATTAGTCTCATGTCTGTAGGTGGTTTGAGCTCTTTTGGTTTGGACATGGAAACCAACTTTGCCATCTTCCAGCTCTTTACTGCATTGAGCAAATCAGCAGGATAGGGCAGTGTGGCCAGGAGAGCAGGTGCGGACTTAGGTGAAAAACAGGACCTTGTGGGTAAACTTCAGCCATGTGACCTTGGCACTGTTTTAATATATTTGTAATCTCAGGTGCCTTTTTTGTTCGTGGGGCTGGTAACTTGCACTACATCCCTCACAGGATTCTATATTACCAAGAAGATTACATGAGATGATCATGTAATGATGTCACAGTCTATTTACAGGGGCTGCTGCCTCTGTAGGAAGGAGGAGGGAAACCCTCTGTGAACTTGCAGACAGGTGGCTTTTACAGCTAGATGGAGACTGCACGAGCGTGGTGGGAACTGCCATCATTTGATGGATGGTGGCTGGCCAGCCATGGTTCTCACCATGGTCTCAGTTACATCTTCCAGTGAGGGAGGTGTTTGTTGTCTGGGCTGATCCTTCACGTCCCAGCCTTGAAGGGGACACTCTCAGACAGACTCTTCTGAGACTCTTGGCAGGAAAGAGAAGAACCTCCCATCCCAACTTCTCTGGGTGGCTGTAGTGAGGATACGGATGTACTTGTCTTAAGCACAGTGTTGAGGACCAAACTGGTGGGGGGCTTGGTGATGCTCTGCCCCCTGGACACTGTCCAGCTCTCCATCCCACTCCTCCCAAAAGCTCAGATTCCTGCCTCATCACCTGGTCTCCCAATCCCCCTCCTTGATGGAGCACCTGTATCTTTTGTCCTTTGAGATTTGCCTAAGCCATTCGTTGGCAGGCCCACTTTAAGGCCCATGGCCTTGATCCCTAAGATTGTTGTGGCCTCTTTACCACTATAATAAATCCTTGAATTGGGGAAGAAGACCAGCTTGGGGGTAAAATGTCAAGAGCAGAAAATGGAAAGTGAGAACAGTCAGGCAGGTAAAGCAGAAGCACTGAAGGAGACTCAATGTCAGCTTTCCCCATCGTCCCTTAGCCTGGACGGTCCGCTGTGCTGTCTGGGTGTGAGCCTGACAACCTCACACCGTCTCACACCCGTTTCCCAACCAGGCCCCATGCTCCTCCTTGTGGGCGGGGCTCGTGGTGTCTCATGCTCCTGTCTTTGGGGTGGTGTTTCTCTGAAGAAGCCTGCCATTCCAAGGAGGAGAAGCATGCCAGTCCTGCATCTGGGGAACAGCTAAGCTGAGGGGAGTCAGACTCTGGTGTCTGGAGGTGGGGTTCAGTACCCAGTGCTGTTCATTCCTTTCTTCAGAGAATAATGTTCAGCTTTGGGACTGAGTCCCCTGCGACACATTGGTGGAAGAGCTGTTTGGGATCATGCAGCCCTATTTATAGGGCTGTGGTTTGGTGAGAAGGGTGAGTGCTTTTTGGGTAAATGCTAAGTGGAAGCATCTGGGTTCACATGTGCCAAAGGAGGCTGTTGGAGGAGCAGTGACATGTGACAGGAGCTGGGCAGGGCTTTAAATGGAAGGGCCAGAAAGCAAAAGAACTCCTTCCTGTGGGTTCAGCAGAGCCGGGCTCCAGCGCAGATATTCTTAGGGATCTTTTGGAACTTGCCCAACAGGGAGTGGCTGGGAATGCCCAGTGCACATAACTCACTAACCTGGTACAGTGGGGAAAAGACACTAGGCAATAAATATTGCATCTGTCCATTGTTGCCAGCTGGCACCTCCAGCCTGAACCTAGGTTTAGGACCCTTTGGTGAGTCTGTTGGATCTTGGCTCCCACTGGGCTCAGTTTAACTGTCTCACTAATCTGAAAAGTCTGATCTGGGATGTTTAGGTGGGAATGAGAAGCCTTGTATGTGAAAAACATTTCTGAAGCCAAAAGCTTTAAACAAATGCTTGTTATTAGAGTGACTGATACCATGATTAGATGAGGACAAGTTAAACGTGCTTGTTCACCTTAAGTGGCACTCTTTTATTTTTTCCTGTGCAGTTTTTCTTAGGCTGTTTAAGCTTCTATTCACTGACAAAAGAAATCAAGGCCCCACCTCTTTGCTTTTATTAGATTCAGAAAGGCAGCCACCAATTCTGATGGCAGCTTTCTCAGTATCCTGGTCCCTCTTCCCTGCTCTAACTCCCCTGGAATGTTCTGACAGGATGTCTGTCTGTGTCTGGCTCCTCTGTCCTGGTGGAAAACTATTGGCCGTGGCCTTGTCCTTGGGTCCTGATACTGCGTGGATGTCTGTGGGCCCTGCCATGGCTCTGCAGCCAGGTGTGATGCTTTTCTGCACCATCAGGCCTGTCCCCTTGGGGCCAAAGACCTCAAGGCTGGACAGGATCTCAGCCGGCCTCAGGGTCCCGTGTGCAGACTTGCTTGCCATCCCTGGAGCCTCTCAGCTTCCAGTCAAGACTAGTGACCTTTATTTCTTCCATTTTTTTCCCTTCTGAAATGGGAATGTCTATCCTTTCCCTGTCCAGCTGTATTTTGGAAGGAGACAACTTGTTTCACTGATACACAGACAGAAAGGAATTTTGCTCCTGGTCAGCCTCCAGCTGCCTTCCTCAGACAGATGCATGGTTCTCTTCATCCATCTAACCAAAGTAGCTGACCGGCTGCTATGGGCCAGGTGCTGGGCCCCACTCTGGGCTCAGAGACACGGCTTTGCCCACTAGGAGCTACTGCTCAGACAAAGGACCCCACATCGCTAGTGCTCTAGAGTTCTGTGAGGGAGTCTGGCATGAGCGTGGAGAGGGGACTAAGCCTGGGCAGTCACTTCTGTCTGAGGGAAGGAGAGGATCCTGGAATCAATGATGCTGGAATTGGGCCTTGAAAGAGGAGAGGGAATGGAGCAGGTGGGAAGGGGGTCTTGGCCAAAAACATTGTATCCTGAGCAAGCCTTAGAGTGAAAGCAGTGGGGGTAAAACTACTCTGGCTGTTGTATCTAAAGAATTTTAACTGCTGTGGTTGTAAACTTTCACCCAGTTACATGCAAAGGGCTTCCACACTCATTGTCTCATGGAATGTCCACAATCCTACCGCATGTATGTTTCCACCTACATTTTATAATAGGGAAATAAGCTCAGCATGTTAGGGACTTGTCCAAGGTCTGGCCCATGATGGGAAAAAAGTGGGCTCAAATGGAAGCCTGGCTACAGAGCACACATTCTTGACTATTTCCTGGGTCCTTGATTTCCTCTCTGGGTGGTTTCCTGGGTGACAGGAAGCAGGTGAATTTTTGTACAAGAGCTGAGGTACTATTGTTAGATTTGTGCAAGACCCAATGTGGAGGATGAGTGGGGTGTGGGGGTGTGGCTGCAGGCAGGAAAACCAGCCAGGAAGCCATTGCAGCCATTCTGATGGGAGATGTGGCCTGAAGCCAGACAGGTGAGGATGAGAGGACAGACCAGAGAGTGGGTGAGGAAGGAGACTTTACTGGATATGGTGACCAACTGGACGTGGGTGAGGGGCAGGAAGGCTAGGGATGACCCCCAGGTTTCTGGCTTGGAGACTGTGGTGGCATCACTGAGGCGGTTTGGGGAAGACCCTATGTATTGGGGCCCTCTGAGTGTGAGGCCAAGAAGGGGGGAGGTGGGTGTCAGGTGTGGGGGAGGGGATGGGCCACCTCCTCCTCCAAGCCCCCACAATCTCCCAGGCTTTAGTTTCCCGCTGTTTTATGTTTGTTGTTCAGTTGCTAAGTCGTGCCCAACTCTTTGCAACCCCGTGGACTATAGTCCGCCAGGCTCAGCTGTCCATGGGATTTCCCAGGCCAGGAGGGGGGATGCTCTCAGGGCCCAGTCACATGGAAGGCTTGTGGGGAGATGGCTGCGCACAGCTGCTCTCAGCCTTCTCCTGCAAGATCAAAGATGGGGAGATCACATTTAGGTGAGCAGGTTAAGCATGATGCATTTTGTAAGCCTGTAAGGCCTGTGCTTGCCCAGCTTCAAGACCAAAGAAAGAGCCCAGAGTCAACAATAGAGATACAAACATGAGTAGTTTAATGGAGTAGCTTACATGTCTGAAGCAAGGTCCTGGAGCGACACCCTTCCCTGTACAGCAGACAGGACATGGTGGCAGTCTTTGCTCCCGGGAGAAAGAGAGATTACTAATTATAGGGGGAATTGATGTCAGGTGGGCTCATTAGTTACCGGGAAACCACTAGAGGGACACGCCCCTCACCATCCCTTTGATAAGCTATCATTACCTGGGGCCTGGGGCAAGTACGTAGGAAGGTCAGTCATGTGCTTAAGATAAGGGTGAAGCAGGCACTGGTTGGGCAGAGGATGTACAGAGAGCAAGAGAACAGCCATCTCAAATGACCTGACTGTACACAGGGTTTTCTGGAAGAGTTGGCTCAAAGAGAAGATGAAAAGTTAGCCTGCATGGGCATAAAAGCTGGAAAGCTTCTGGATTCAGACAGTGCTTAGAATCTGCCTGCTGATGGTAAGACATTGGTTGGGATGGGGCTGAGGTTTGCCATGGTGTATGATGGACACATAGAGTTGCAGCTGAGTAGGTTGAATCAACTTGGTAAGAAGCATAATTCTACCCTGGCTGGTGGTGGGCCCCTCAAACTCTCCACAAGCAGTCGAGTGCCCGGTTGGGAGCTGTGTTTGCAGTCCATCAACTTTGGTCAGTCTCAGGATCACCTGGCCCTCTTCTCCTTTCCGGAGCCTGGGCATCTTGCGCCATTGACTCTCCAGGTGCTTCTAGCAAACACCAAGGTTTGAAGAGCATTGAGTCAGTGAACCTTCAGTGCAGAGCGAGTGGAGAGGCTGTCTGGAGGCAGGGCAGTCAGTCAGGCTCTTGACATCCAGGTGAGGTAATGCCGGGGCAGGTGAGGTTGTGGAGCAGGTGAGATCACCCCCAGCGAGCCTCTGGAGAGAAGATGGCCTCTGGGCTGACTCAGCAGCACTTGGCACCCCTGGTTTTGTCTCCGCCCCGAACTTTTCATATGGTTTATAGTGCACCCCTGTCTCAGTCCTCCCGGCTGTTCCTCCTGCATCCCTTTCATTGGTTCTCCTCCTTGACTGCACGTTTATTTGGAGTGTTTCAGAGTCTTGGAGACTCTTTCTTATTTTTTTTTTGGTCTTACACTACTTTTTAAGTTACTTCCTGCGGTTGTTTAAATACTGCCTTTATGCAGACAGTTCCCAGAATATCTCCAGTCCAGATTTCTCCAAATACCTTGAATTTCCAAATGGCTACTGTACTCAGCATCTCTGTCTAGGTGTCCCTGGGCATCTTAAACTGAATATTTCCAAAACTAACCTCCTAATTTCACACCCTTTCCACCCCACCCCCTCCAGCATTGTTGCTCCTGCAGTTCTCCCACTCTCCCAGAAGCTCAGGGCAAAAGCCTGGGGTTTTACTTTCTCCTGCCCACGCCCAGCCTATCAGTAGGGTTTACAAGCTTCGCCCTCAACATATTTTAAGGATCAGAACATTTACCACAAGCATTACAGTCCAAGCTACCTTTATCTCTTGCCTGGTTTTCTTGTATTCACTGCTGCACCCCTCCCCACCCCCAGTTCAAGCAGCAGCCAAAGTAGTCCTTTTAAAAGGTAAGTTAGACCCTCCTGTGCTCAAAGCCCTCTACTAGGTGGGTTCCTGCCTCAAAGGAAAAGTGGGAGGAAGGGAGGAAGAACAGGGCGAATCCTCAGGCACTTTGCTTTATCTGTCTGTAAAGGGGGAGAATGTTGGATAAACTCTTAGCAGGCAGCTACAGACACTTACCTGATATACAGTAGCTACAAGTAGAAATGAGCACCCAGTAATCAAATCTCGACTCTGTGCCAGGCACACCACACACATTATCTCTTTTAATGCTTCTGATTTTTTTTTTTAATCACTACTATGTATAAGCACAATGTGAAGGCTCAAATAATCGTATACGATTTGTTAAAGTGGCCATCTCCCCATCTACTCACCCCTGTTGCTCTTCCTCAGATGGAGCCACTTCAAACTCCTAGTATTTTTATCCATGTTACTAGAAAAAATGCTTGTTCTGCTACGTTATTCTTTTTTCAGTTGTCATTATCTAGGTGACTTCTGAATTCCCACCCTGGAAGATGAATCAGCTGTCTCTCCAATCTTGTTTCCATCACTCACAAGCACTTTTTCATCCCCACATCCTGTCAGTGCTATTTCTGTTAAATTCGCATGTATGCGGTGTTTTGTTGCAAGGACTAAGATTATTTTTACTTTTTGGTTTTCTCAGAGTTCTTTTGTCATTGCTTGGTTCACATTTTCTTATCATGGAATTAAATTCTTCAACTTAATAAATTTCTTAAGCTGTTTAGATGCGTTAGATAGTCCGTTAATTTCATATTACTGAAGAAATCTCAGAGCTTTTGGAAGCCCTCCCACATGGACCAACTGCCCTTTCCTGCTTCTGCATAGCTGTTGCCCTGGCATCTCCCTTGTGTCTCTTATCACATTCTCCATGTCCTTGTGGATTTATGTCTTTCAAAATAAATTCCTCTGCTATTGTTTCAGTGGGTAGCTAAATTAGATGTTTGACTTCAATCTCCCGTATTTTTCTGAGCTCTGTCTCTTGTTTACTTTCGCCCATAACAATGGTGTCTGTTTTATACTGATTTTATAGAAGAGACAGTTGAGGCTCAGAGTTTAAGTAATCTGCCTAAAGGCCCACGGTCATCATGCAGCAGAGCCCAGGTTTTAACTCGACTGTCAGGCTATAAACCCTATATTCTTTCTTGTTTGTCCTTGAAAAAGAACGTTAATCTTGGTTGATATGGGATGTGATAGAGAATGTAGGCACTGCCATCAACTGTCTTTGTATATCATCCTTCATCTTTATTGTTATTGTTATTTTTTAATGCTAAAAATGGCTTCTTGCTCTATTATCCCAAAGATAGAAGTTTCCCATATACTTTTAAGAAGCTGTCTTTTCAGCTTAGGACTAAAAACAGGTATTCCTTTAAATGACCATTTGAAGAGCCAGTCGCTGTGGTTTATGGATGACCAGTAAATTGTGGAGAAAGTCTCCGGTTTGTGGCAATAAACCACAAAGTATGTGGTGATACTTCTTTACCACCTGTTGGCCATTGGGGGCTGGAGAGGTCTGAGATGAATCTGAGTTCAGTAGTGGTGGATTCTTGGCTGAGGGTCCCCCCCCCCCGCCCCCGCCCCGGGTCTTGCTTTGTATAGGGATGCTGGAGTCCGTCTGGCTGCCGCTGTGAGGAGTCAGCAGACCCTGGAGGGACCAGGACTCTAGACCTATTCCTGATTCCTCCATGCGGGACACTCTGAGCCTGCCCAAAACACTTCACACCTCTCACCACCTTTACTGAGAGAAAAGTGGTTTACTACATGGACGTGCAGCTTGCATTTCAGCCTGGATGGAGACAAGTTAAGGTTTACTTGCTTAAGCCTTACCTTAGTCAGCTGTTCCTGCCTACTGCTGATCTTCCTTTGCTGAACACAAAGGTATTTAATACCGTATCTAAGTAACTGCCTTAGAGGCCACCAGGTGTTGGGTGGCTAATTGTGGCTCACTTTCTAAATGTCACCTAACCCTGTCCCTTATTGAAGTTCAGAGTGCCAAACGGGCCTTTGTGTGGCGCAGATCACTTGACTCTGACATATGTCACAGCTGGACTCACAGCTGCAGGGTTGGTTTCTCCCTGGCTGCTAGCAGAGAGGGGGTTCTGTTGAGGGGAGCCCAACATCGGGCACCATGACAGGTAGGAGGATGACAGCATCTAGAGAGGCCTGTGGGGGAAGTGGAGGATGCATGAGCAATGGACCACACCTCTTATTAAACAACATTCCTTACCTTATCTCTGTAGCTCCGTGTGAGCCAATTTCTTGGTGTGAGAAGAAGCCTGCTCATCAGGGTCAAATGCAGGGCTCTGTTAATAGTCCAAGTGTCCAGAGAGAAAACGGCTTTTGGCTGATTTAACTACCGTCACTAGACAGTAGACGGTGTTAAAAGCACTGTGTCCTCCTCTGCCTGCACCTCTCTTTCTTGGGCTCGTGGGGGTGCCTTCGAGTCCTCAGGGCACACCATCAGTGCCTCTGCCGTCCAGCCTGAGTGGCTGTCGCAGCCCGCTCTCACGGGTGGAGAACATGATTTCACTTCCCCTCCCCACCACCTGCTTGGGGGCTGTCCTGTGTTACGCGGCCCATTGGTGTAGGATCCCCCTGGATCCTGCTCTTTCTCAGCCCTGGGGTTTCTGCCTCTTCCCCGCGCGCCCTCTTCACCTTGCTTCTCCGTGGGGTCCTCCTCGCAGGCAGCTGCTGGTCTCTGTGCACATAACCCCCACATCCCCGACGAACCCAGGTCGAACCCTGACGAACCCTGGGGAGATGCTGTGTCACTGTGGGGATGAACAGACACACCGAATTCAGCTGGATGACACGTTTGCTTCCGAGACCCCCAATTCCATGAGAGCAGGGACTGTCCCAGGGTGCGTTACTGACGGGGAGCTCCAAACTGGTGAGGGGAGAAAATGGCTGAGGCTGCCAGAATGGGAATGGTTGACAAACGGAATCATGGCTTCCCTGTTCAGTCAGTGTCCGTGTTCACAGATGGGCCTGGAGGCATCACTCCTGTGGTATGTTTGGCCATTCAGCGGGTCCCCCGGTATCCCACATCACTGACTCCTCACAGGGGCTGGCAGAGCCTCTTCTCCTTGCATCCTGCCATCACTTCAGACCCAGGACTGAGCTCATCAGTCGCCCAAAGTTTGTTCCGGCTCCTGAGTGCTCCCAGTCTTACTGGCCCAGGTTCTGGACTGTAAAGATGATACACCTTTGACTCATGTTTCACTTCTTGCCAGCTCCCACGGGTCCACCCAACTTGCCACCTGCCAAGTACAAACTCATCCTTGGGCAGAGGGCCCATGGGTCGTTTTTACGGTCCTTCTGTTGCAGGTGTCCTAACTGGGCCCTCTGTGCTTGGCACTTTCTAACTGACCTCTCACCTTGCAACCCAGGACTAAGACCCCCAATGGAGCCAGTCTGCTGAAATACAAGGTCCTTCTCTTAAAAAATCTCTCTCAAGTTGACATCTGAGGCCACTTGAGCTGCCAAGTGTGCATCCAGATCCCTGATGCTGTGGGTGTGATTCCCAAGCTCCTCTTGTTGAATTGCCCTAGTCACGCTTACGTAGATCCCGTGGAGGGCTTTGACTCATAGTGAGCAGCTGGGTGCTCCTGTATAATCTCGCCAACTGTTTTGATGTTTGCCACCTACATCTTGTCTTTACATGCTTCCTTGCCTTTCATACACTGCCCTCCTCTGCCTGGACTCACCCTTACCTGCTGAGAAAGTTCCTTCTCAGCCCTTACAGCCCAGGGAAACTGCATACCAGCCTCAATCAGCATACCCCACATTGCATCCTAATTATTTCTAATTCTGTCTTCTCTACTACACTGCATGGTCTGAGGGAATAGGGTTGAGGTCTGATTCATCAATGTCCCCTCCGCCCCCAGTGCCGAGCACAGTAGGGTTTAGGCAGTGTTGGCCATACAGATCCATCATTTATTCACAACTATTTACTCTTAAGTTTCCTTGGGCTAGTCACTCTGCTGGGCACACAGGGGTGAGCAAGGCAGACAGGGTCGCCAGCTTCCAAGCAGAGGGTTTGTGATGCCAATCAAAGAGGAAACATAGATGGATGAGATACTTCGGAACCGCTGTGCTTCCAAGGGGCTGCTTTAGATGCAGGTGTGCAAGGAAGGCATCTCTGAGAAGAGACTTCAGAGCTGAGGCCTGAAGGATGAGGATGGATCAGCTGTGCAGAGACCCGGGAAGGTGATCTCAGGGCAGAGCAATGATAGGTGCACAGAGGGGCTCGGAGTGCTGCGGGAGTGGACAGGGCCTGAGGCTGCCAAAGCAGGACGGTCAAGGGGGGGCGGGCCTTGTGGGGTTGTCCCGGCCAGATCCTGCCGAGCTGCTTCTGCAGGTCACGGTATGGACTTGGGCTTTCTTCCTGGGAGCGCCTGGGGAGGCCTTGGAGGGTAGGATGGATTTCACACTTGTACTGTCTGTATGGCTAAGCAGGTGAAGGTGCTGAGACCGGCCCTCTTCTCTCCTCCCCTTTTCCCACTGCCTCTTCTCCAACCCCCACCCCCCAGCCTCGCTTCCACTCAGACCCTGAGACCTACACCCACATGTGCTCTGAGCCACCTGGCTGCTCCTTGCTGCAGCCTGCCTGGCTCCTGCCACGCCCCGAGGTGCCAGGGAGGCTCCCACCCCCTCCATGAGCCCCCATTCTCACTCCCCTGAGCTAACTGCACCCTGGTTCTTGCATTTCTGACCCTTTCGTGGCCTTTGCCCCGGTGACTCTGAGCCCTCCCCCTCCCCCCTCCAACAGGTTTGCCTTGATTTGCTGTGCCTACCGCCCCCACAGGGCCAGCTGCTTGGACTTACCTAGGTTTCCCCTCCCTCCCTAAAGCTGACCCACTTTAAAGCCCCTCATCCTGTGAGCTGTCCTGGCAAAAATACGTCATTTAAAAATGGCTAAGGTTTATTGAGCCCTTACTGCATGCAAGACCTGCATTGTTAATGAAATGTTAATTACTCATTTAACTATGACATCAACCCTATGAATCTGGTACTGTCATCCTCCCCATGTTACAGAAGAGGATCCTGAGGTTCAGAGATCACACAGGAAATAGCAGAGCCAGCTTTGAACCCAGGGTATTTAACTGTTCCTGCCTGGTGCCGTCCAGCGTGGTTCTTTGTGGTCTTGACATCCTTATCCACACCCTCTCCAAACCACTTTCCTGTGGTTGCTCATGTTCCTCTCTTCACTCTGAAGATGTAACTCTGGGGGGGAAAGGAGCAGCAGGTCTTCTGTTGCCTGACCTGCGCTATCCAACCTCGGATCTAGGAGCCCTGCCTCTCTTCTCCGCAGCACTTAGGCCCATTGGGCACACTTGTGGGCTCTGCTGAGTGAGCAGACAAACAATAGCACCTGCCACCAGTTTACAGATGCGAGTTAAGTCTCAGGATTACAACTGCTCTTGTAAGTCTCTGCCTGACACCCAGGGAGGGGGTGGGAAGCGAAAAAAATGAGGTGAGGCTGCAGGAAGACAGTTTTGCTTAAAGACCTTGATGAGAGGCAGAGTTGTCTGGAGATGGAACCAATTGCCACCTCTCTCATTAGAAGGGAGGCTCAGCATCAGAGGAGTGGCTAGACAGTGTATTTTTGGAGAAATTCTTCCGCGCTGAGAAGATGGGATTCTGCGCCTTGAATGGTCCTGGGTGGAGTAGGAAGGACTAAAATAGTAAGAGACCATGCTCTCCCCACAACAGTGTGCCTGAAACCTTCCTAGACGGGGCCCACGGGCCCACATGAGAAGTGAAAGTGGCAGCTGAGGCCTCTCAGCCTGGATCACACCTGCTGTAGGGGAGCACCCCAGGAGTGGGACAGATGCGGGTATAAGACCACAAATGCCTGCTGTGACCCAGGGCTGCAGGGCACGCCCCGATGGAGTTCTCGATAGCTGTGTGCCTTCTGCAGCCCTAGGGGAGCCTCGAGCCTTCCCCAGGGTGGCTGCAGCTTCTGGAGCCGGGACTGTGAGGATGGTGGCAGTAGCAATTGCCGCCTCGCTGCCGTAGGTGACCCTGGAGAGTCCCAGTGGCTTTTCATGACAGAAGCAAGTGGGATCACCTGCTAAAGATTCATGGAGTACCCGTGCCGGGAGGTGGCAGAAACCCACTGTGGGCTACTCAGATTGCTATGAGAGTGTGATTTCCATGGTGGAATGAGAGGGCTCAGTGGTCTTGGGTATGTAACATGAAATACATGTGCTGTGTTTGAATTTTCAGTAGGAGGAGACAAAGGACAGAAAAGGACTCATGGCTTCTGACGCCAGTCACGTGTTAGAAGCTGCCCTGGAGCAAATGGACGGAATCATCGCAGGTATGCTCAGGGGTCCTGGCGACCTCCACACTGGAAACCATTTTCCTCTCATTGGACTTCTCTTTTGGGTGCAGAGACAAGGCCCCTGTTGGATTTCTTTTATGTTACTGTGTGTGCGCTCTATTTTAACAGGGCAAACTCAGACTCTTTGATAGCTGGTGAGGCTCTAGGTCTCTGCTGAGATTGCAGCTGCACCATATATTAGCACATGAATAACTGTCCCACTTTGGATCCTGGCTGCAACAGGTGCAGTGGCTGGCACTGATTTTATCGTGGAGTTTTCAGAGTACAGCATGGTTTCAGTCAAGCTGAAACTTGCAATCTTGCAGACTTTGCCCTCTAACACTGGTGTCATTTCCCTTCCCTGGCTGGTCTCCAGTATGTCTGTCAGGAACTGGTTTTGTATTGATTCACTTAATCACCTGAAGAATGTTCTTTATGCCATATTATTGCAACTGTTTGGCTTCATGTTTGTACGAAGCAGTTAGGAACATTCTCTTGAAAAGATCCAGCAAAGTTGTTTAATTGGAAAGGACTGCAGTGGGCTGTTTGGGCTGATTAATTCCTTGATGGGGGACAACTGAAGCCCATACTGATTGGAACAAGCCTGTCATTTGAAATTTTTCCCTGCAGGCTGCAGGCCTTCTTTCTGTCCTTACCTGATACAAGTCAGTGACCTTATTTGCCGACTGGGCATTTCTTTGGGACTTTGCTCCTTGTTGTGTGGAGTTATGGCTGCAGGAGGTATGTTTGGGCTGAGTGTGACTAGAACCCAGGGCATACACAGAGCACCTGACATTGCCTGCTGTCTGTCCTTCCATCCTGCAGAGAGACACCCAAGGCACTGAGGGTTCTGGGTGTTTGTGCCTGGGGCAGAGGAGGTAGGTGTTCCGTGTCTTGAAACTTCTGCGTGTTGTGGTGCACCGTTACACATTCCATTACACAGAGCTGTCATCTGTCAGGCTCTTAATTTCTCAGTGAACAGAAAGGGTCCTCAGGAGGCCAACCAACATCCGGGTTTTCAGAGACTCCGGAGATTGGGGTGTCCTGCTCCAGGTTAGGGTCCTGGAAGCCCTATTGAGAGGAGATGATCAACAGTGTGGGGTTCCTGGCAGTCTGTTCAGAGAGTCTCCCCCAGAAGTTTCCTGTGCATCGTGATCAGAGTCAGGCTCTCAGACTAACTCAGGTGGTCAGCACTGCTGAGCCCCCAGCCCAGGGGCAAGAAGGAGACTGTAAGAGCCCCTGGAGCAGGCAGAGCTCTTAGACAGCCGGGACAGGTGAGTGGGACACCTCCTAAAGAAGGCAGCCTTCCTTCTCCTGCCACTGAAGTTCCCCCTGAAGACACCCCTGAAATGACGAAGCGTCTGGCACAGTCCCCTCTGTCTGTGAGCGAGGACTGTGGGTCTGAATACTTGGGGCCTTGGCTTGGTCGGGTGTGGTTCCTGCAGTGGGTGTGGTTCCTGGAGCAGAACCAGGGACTCCCATCCTTGTTCCCTTCTGGCATTGCATGCTCCCCCCTCCTCCTATTTCCTTAGGCCTCCACCCTGGCAAACTCCTTCTGGAAGGGCTCCCTGGGTGTCTCTGGAACAGATACAAGAGTTTTCCTGAGAGGTGGTCTAGAACATTCCAAGGAGTTCTTTGGTTGGAGGAACACCTGTAGCCAGACTGCTTGTTTCAAATCCTAACTCTGAATCAAGTTACTTGCATGATATGTGCTTCAGCTTCCTCATATTTAAAATGGGTATAATAATAGAATCCGCCTAAGAAGGTTGCTATGCTTATACATGTAAGGGCTTAACACGGAGCCTGCCATATAGTAAGCACTATAAAATGTCAGCTCTTGATAAATTGAGTTCTCATTTATTCACGTCCTTATTTCACCCATTTGTGTGCTATGGTTTTCATTGTCTAGCTAAGGCTTGTGCATGCCTCTTAAGCTTGCCTGGGGTCTACAAGATTAATGCAGAGTCTCTGAGGGGGCTCTGCTCTGCTCTTGCCCCCTTGTAGACTGTCTTCCACAGAGCAGCAGAGGAATCAGATCACACCCCTCTCCCCACAACTCTTCAGTGGCTTTGCACTTCAGGATGAACATCTAAAGTCCCTATTGTAAGCAGCAGTGCTGTATGCAATCTGGCCTTTGGCTGCACCTCTCCACCTTCCATCTGGCTTGTCTGGCTTTAGCATAGGCTGTCTCAGGGCCTTTGTGCTTGCTGTCCCTCTGCTGTGATGTTCTCCAAGTACACTGAGGTCAGATCTCTGCTGAAATGTCACCATGCAGAGGCCTTCCCTGACACTCTCTCAGGTAGCATCCCTACATCCCCTCCCCCCATCCTCCCATCCTGTTTGTATTTCTTTGTAGCACTTACTACCATCTGACCCATTAGGTTCATATTCGTCTGTTTATTATCTGCCTCCTGCACCAGAGTGTAAGCTCTGTGGCAGCAGAGGCTTTGCTGCTGCGTCTCCAGTGCAACACAGAGTACGTCTTTAATAGATGTTTGGGTCCCATGTGTATTTGATTTACTTTTGTGAATAAGCTCCCCTTTGCATTTATTAGGCGGCAGTTACTGGTTTCTGTACCTATCCCCTGTCTGTCTGCTTGCTGAACTTCATTGATTATTTTCTCTCTTGTGTCTTTGGCTCATTCTTGTGGAATAATAAATCACTAATTTTTTGTTTTTTTGAAGACTCTGTGGTTAGCATGTCCTGTGAGCCATCTCTTAAGCAGTAATTGGCTCACCCAGACATTTGACAGGAGCTATTTGGCAGATAATTCAACACTGAGGTTATTAGCGAGTGTCTGGAGGGCATATGTTCTATGCCATTTGCGATGAAAAGAATAATAATTATTGAATGCTTTTGTGTGGGATACTTTTCCTCAAGATTATTAAGGCCACCCTCATTTTCAAGTTGACTGGGCCAAAGAGCATAGGGATTTTTGTGGTTATTAATGTAAACTGCAGTTAGACTGTTGGAGTTCAAATCCCAGCTCAGCCACTTATTACTGGCTATGGAGTCTTTGAGCAAATTGCTTGATCCCCTTGAGCCTCAGTTTCCTCATAGTGTATAGACAGTGGTAATAACAGCGCCATCTCATGTTATTGGGAGGATTAAATTAAGGTAAAGAAGGCAGTTAGAATAGTGCCTGTTACCTAGTAAGTGCTCACCGGATCTAAATTACCTTGGTTTTGTTGATATTACTGTTGACATTATTTTTGCCACCCGAGCTATAGTGCTGGTAAATGACAGAACTAAGATTTGAGTCCAGGCTATCTGAGATCCAGATGTCTTCCTGGCTCGTTTCACTCCTGGGTTGATCTCATGGTGATGTGCAGCAGAACCCCTGGGGTTCTGCAGGACCATCTAGAGAGTTCACTGGGAGGAGGGTCAAAGCCTGTCCTTGGACCCAGTCTGTTGGTCACAGTGGCTTTGCTCTCTTCCCTTCTACATTCAACTTCCAAGTAAGAGCTCATTTGCTTGAGCATAGAACAGCTAGAAGGAAGTTGAAGACTGTGGCACCAACATCATGAATCACAGATTCTGTAGAGGTTATGTCTTTGTGTGAACATTTATATTGTCCTTTCTTTATTTCTATTCTCTCACTAATTTGAAGTCAACGGATTGTCAAGTACTACTTCCAGCTGGTAAAGGACTCAAACCACTGCATCCTCCCACTTTATGAAAACACAGTTATGCTTATCTTAGTGAAGAAGTTTTTATGGGCTTTCTGCGTGCCCTAAACAGCAAGCATTTATGTAGAAACAAATAGATTCTTACTCAAATGGGCACAATTTCCTTCAGTACTGATTATTAATGATTATAACACTGTATAACCAGAACTTTCCCTTATTAATTACTCTACAGTATGACAGGCTACTCTTCACTTTCCAAAACTCTTTCCAAAAGAGTTTCCAGAAGAGTATACTTAGGGCATGTGATACCAATGTGTATATAATTAAGCCTTTAATGCAAAAAAAAAAGTGCCCCCTTCTTCTGATCAATGTGAACAGTACAGATGGTGCAAGAGATGATCACTTACAGAAGCAACCAGGCCAGGAAAACTCAGAGGACATCTTGATACACAAGTGCCAAATACGCCCCTGCAGAGGCAAGCATGGTGACCCTCATCATCGGCAGGCATTCGTCTGCTCTGGAGACATGAGACAAAGAAATGCCTTCTAAGCAGAAGGAGGAAATGAAGCAGAAACATGAAGTGAAACTCCTTGTAAAGCTGAATTCTTGAAATCTGAATGGGTGTATCCTGAGTATGATTGTATTTAATTAGGACCCGAGAATTTTATACCAGAAAGTTAGGACAAGGTGACTTAGAAAACCCAGAACCTTTGTCCAAATGAGTTGTTTCTAATACAAAAGACCAGTATTATAAGTTCCAGTAAGATGTTAACCTTTGATCTGGCCTTCTTGTTGATTAGTCCCTGTGATTCAGCCTACAAATAACACCATAATTGAATCACACTGTTGATGATTGAAATTGAACACTATGCTGCTTAATTGCATCCCTGTGGATGACTCTGAGCAACGACCACATACACTAATTTTGTGTAGGGCTTCATCTGTGGGCTAATGGGGTCAGTGGCTGCTCCAGGAGGCTGCGTGTGTGTATGACCAGAGAACCTCTGGTCAGGACACAGAGGGCCACTTATTTCTCTTCACTGTGTGGGAGGTTACTCATGGGGTTATCTGCAAGCTCTCCCCATCAATGAAGAACAGTTAAAAGGAATCTGTTTAATGATAGTTGAACAAAGAGGTTGCTCTCTCTGGGCCTTTCTTCCAACTCTTCTTTTCTCTTTTAAAGATTTTTTTTTTTTGATATGGACCTTTTTCTTTTTTTAAAGTATTACTGAATTTGTTACAATATTGCTTCTGTTTTGTGTTTTGGATTTTTGGCCTCAAGGCTGTGAGGTCTCAGCTCCCCAGGCTGGACTTGAAATTGTACCCCTTGCACTAGAAGAAAACAACCACTGGACCAGCGAAATCCC